CAAGCGTCATGATCGATAAACGCGCACACGATTAATTGCTAGTGAACGTTCCAATCCCACTTATGATGCAGCAACCCTCAAATCATACATGGAATTAAAAATGTAAATAAAGAGTGCACACATTATGTAATGATATGCTTTTGTCATTACAATTCACCGTATACGACTGTCTCTGTTTGGTAACTTGATTGCTTCTTGAAGGTGCTATGAAAGGATTTATCCATTGTTTTGTTGAATTTTGCTCATTTGGGCTGTTTAGAAGAAGTGAGATAATTCTCTAAAGCGAGTCGGCTGACTATGTTTTTTAACAGCTTGATGTTCAAATTTAATGAAGTTGATAATATACTATAATAAATAATATACTCCTACACACGTATCGAGTTGATAATCACGTGTCACCCATCACTTCTGTATTTCGCTTTATGGCACTATCAGAATTCACGTTCATTATCATTTTTTGTTTCGTTTTTGATCAGTGAGATACTGAATTATTAATCGATTCATAAAACTGATAGTAAAGTTTCGAATTTCATAACCTGATCAAAGCATTTTGATTACTTTTTTTCTATTTCCTTCGGTGGTTTTTTTAAGACTCAACAAATTGTGAGACGGAGATAAGAAGCGAGTGCGCATGTTAACAACTGAAGGAATATTTCAACATTGTATGGATACTGGCAAAATGATTATATTGCGCGACTACTATAGCTGTCGTTGATGAGTAACTAGAATAATTCGCTATTTGTTCATTTCTGTGATATCTTTCCACATTATAATAATTATTATATTCAGTTCGTCACATAGTGTTGCATTATTCGTTCAAGCTAAAGTCTGAGCCTCAGCTAAACTTGGCCATACGTCTAAACCTAAACTGAAGCCACAATGTAATTCTGCAAACAAATGTTAAATTGAATCGTTTGAAAACTTGCAAGATCAGAAGTAACACTGGAATGCCGTCATATAAACTTGAATAAAACAAATTTGCTTCGAGTTTCTCTTCATCCATTTCCTATTATATTTGCAATTTATTTTCTCGATTTTCGTTGTCCACAATTAGCATCAGCAAATTTATCTTTGCCAAATGTCTATGAAATTATTGCTTATCAGATATCTCCTTCCATCATTTAGAAATACTCTTTTGATAGGTGTGCATCCGTATTTTCCTTTGTTTAATTGATAACAGCCATTCTCAAGGATACTCCAGATAAGTATTAGAAATAATTGAAACATCCATCCCAGACTTACTTATCTATTACCTCGAAGGGGTATGATTTGAAACGGTCAACGAATGACGACTTGTACAGTCGAAGAGAGCAATGCAAGTTGGGTGATTGACAAGCCTGTCATATCACATAAAGAAGTTCATCATAATAGATTAATTTATCCTAGTTAACATCGTACCGTTATTCGATATTCGAAATTGCTGAGTAATGTTTTGGCGTTGAAACATTTTCCATACCAGTTGACTGATTGATTGAATTTCACAAAAATAGTATTAAAATGAAATTTCATTTGAAGCTTCTTTTCATAGAAATTGGCCTAAACTCAAATTCTTTGCAATGGAACTCAGCTGGATATGATTAAAGCACATAACTTTCGCAGTTTTCCTCAATTATGGAAGTAGCACGATTGGTTTTGGTGGAATCCAATTGTACGAAGCGACGTTTATGAGTCGCAAATACGGTTTCTGCAGCTGACTGTAGCATCGGCTCTTGTTAGATGTATTCAATATGAACTGGTTGGCTTAAGCCAGGTGCGACATCTTACTAATACTTGTACATCTCGTGTAGTGTACATGTTTGTTTTATATACNAATCCAATATTTGCATATCCTCACAAATTACTCCGTCCATCATTTGAAGAAGCTCGTTTCCAAGCAGTGCAGTCTCTAGTTAACATAGCTTCCGCTTCTGTCAATTTTCCGTTATCACACTCTCATTTGACTTTGTTTCATGATTATTCCAACCAAAAGAATATTTACTTATATTACGGTCTTGTTTAATTGTTCTCATATTCACTTGTGCTTAATTCTTCATGCTCAACCTGGGTCACTGTTCATGTAGCTTCACCGTTAACGCCTGACCAAATTCAGTTCATTTAGACAGTTGGTTGGAATCAATAAATCAATTCAGGATATCTCAAAATAGTAAAACTGATCTAGAGCAAAATTAATTTCTTTAGGCTATTGTAAATGCCTTGCTCATCAATCTCAGTTGTTCATGTAGCTTCCTACCGAATGAATTTACATTACATACGTGATCTTGTGATTTGTTTTGATGAGGAATAGGTTGATTCATCGTAAAATGAAAATTGATAAAACCATTTCACTAGCGAACGGCTGAATTCTCATTTGGTTTCTTAGAGTGCAATCGTGATATATTTGCTTCAGACTGTGAGCAATTTCAGTGAGATTATGTGCCCCAACCTCAACTGTAATATATTATCAAACTCATTTCTTCGTGAAACACTTCATTTGGTTAATTCCAACAAACAAATGATTTTGACATAATTATTGATCGAAACATTATAAAATACTTCATAGATTTTCGAAATCGAAGTTCATCCCATTTATCCAAAACACTGGATTAACTCGTAACGCTTAAAAGAACGAGATGATATATTATACGTTCAACGCTTATGTTTACGACTATCTTCCACGTTTACGTTCAACTTCAAAAACAACGGAACCGTTTCATGCATACCATAAATATGCGACCAAAATTGATTGAATATTCGGAACTGGATAGAATCATCAATGATTGTAAGCTCTATGCAAACAACTCGTCAGTGTTGCTGTGACAAATTGGGAATGATCATTTCTTTCGTGCATATTTTGCGTACTTTCGATAAAAGACTGACCCAGCAATGAGCAGCACCAAATATCAGATACACGTACAAAATGAACGCAGATATTGCAATTCGTGTGATAAAGATTATTATTATCTCGGTGGAACGGTGGGTGTTGAGATAATCAATGATCACTATTCAACTAATATTTAATGGCAGTTTTGCTGTTTGTTGATTAAATTGTAATGTGAACATAGCAAAATGAAATGCAGTCGACTTCGCTGTTGCTGTAAATAAAATGATTATTCTAAATGAAAAAGGTCGACTTCAAATCGAATCGAGATTTTGCTGAATCTCATTCATCTTATGAACGACATTATCGTTATTATTTACGAGTTATTTTCGTTAGTTGAGCTTGTTTCCAGTTATGGAAATCAAATTATTATTCTTATCATCACTATCTCATCAAAACCGGCCCTCATTATCCAACAATCAAATTTACGTTGCTTAGCTGCACATAATGCAAAAAAAAGTGCTGACAATAAGTACTACTGGAAGCATTCGCAGCAGCTGGAGAAAACGGATAATGAATATAATGTAATTTTTTGAATAAAATGGGCAAAATCACGAGAGTTTAGGGGAAAAAGGACACTGGGAAAGGAATGATTAAAGTGTGGTACGAATGAAATTGGTGTTTTCATGTTGATTAATGTTTTCATAATCGTAAATCATCCATCGATCGATTGGTCAATCATAGGGAATGAACGATTTAGTTATGGTGTGTGATGCGCGAGTATTATGAGCAGAACTTGTTTTGAAGAAGGGAGTTAGTCCTTTTATCCGATTGTTGTTATGTAATGCAAATTCATTCGTATATGCAAACAACCAAAATTTCATATTGAGAATTCGATATCATTTTAATTGAAATCAATTGGTTACGATTTTCATCACTAAGGTTGTTCAGTTTTTCGATCTAATTTGAATAAATTTTTATGTGATCGATCAAGTGCATTCATTGGCTTACGTGATTTCTCTGTCAAAAAATCTGTTGTTGTGAAAGCAGTCTTCTTCTCATTTTCGTTGCATTAAACGTTCGCTTCCGGATTGAATTAGTGATAATGAGTTTGTTTTCGCGCACAGTGAACTTGTTATCCAACAAGTGAATTTGCTCACAGCTGATAATAGTGACCACATGTTTCTTGCCATATGATATCTTTCGTTTTGGAAAAAAAAGAGCTTCAAAAAATGCTTTTCTATTAGATAGCTTCGTCTTTGCTAAACACACTTCAAAAATTGTTCCATTCATTCATTCTCAAGATATTAAATCGTGCTTTTGCTTTCTATTCACCTGAAAGCTCCAACAATCCCTCATCGAATTTTCTTAAAACTGCTACAAGCATTCAGTTAATCATACAAATTTGTCTGCATAACAGCATTGTAAACGCTCTCTGTTTCAATTTAGCTTATCGTCGTTTATGTACTTCATATATAATTGTTTAATCTTTGAAAAGCACTTGCTGATTTTATGCGGCAAAAATACTGTGAGTGAAAATTCACACCAAATGCAAACGTGCTTAATGAGTCAAAACGGTGCATGATTTTACGCATCAGATTGATAGACATATACACATAGAAGACACATTAGAGAATCATTACTAGCCACAGCCGGAGTCAACCAGTTTTTTTTTTGCAGCAGATTGTCTAGATCAACGTATACATCCTTATTCCATATACAGTGATTTATTTCTATATTTACAGCACCTAGTATCGACGTTTTTTTTGTATGCATCATTCTTTCATGTAGTTCAACTTACTATTAGTTGATTCTTGCTGCGATTTTCATCAGTGCTAATTTCTTGAACGAGCGGATTAGCGAATAATTAATGTTAGAAAAATGGTGCTAAACCATATGTTCGAAAGTGTGCATACATATGGCTTGAAGTCACTCTACGATCCTTCAATCGTATTTAAAAATCTGTCATAATTGAGATTGACTGGTAATTAGTAGTGATGTATGAAGGAGTGAGACAGTGAGTTGAATCTGGTTTCACCTTCTCTTCTTCGAATTCTGCAAACTATCTCTCGTAGAAGCTTTGGCTAACGCTTTTTGCTGGTACAATCAGTTAACGAAGGTCGAAAATGTTGTGCAAATTTCGTTGACCTTAGCAATCTGACGACAGCAAAAGTCTTTCAGTGTGTCATCATATTCGAATCGTATGTCATCATCACTAAGGGCACAGGTTCCTTCAGCAACGAAATGCAACTGCTGTCCATATGGCTTTCATATTGATCTTGATTTCGTGAAATTTGCTGAAAATGTTGCCAACGGTAGCTCACCTGAGCAGCAGCAAATGCATAAGGTTTTTAAACATCATTTTTGATCATATTTTTCATTCGTTCGTCTGAGTTTTTTCAACATTTGTTTATGCATTTACTATTCTGAATCTTCCTCTATCCTGAATTGATGCAAAGCTGAATGAAAATATCGTTGAACTGATGAAATAATTGGATAAAAACTAGATGCTAAGAACATTGTGAGATGTTATAGTGAGGCAGTTAAGTATGAATATACGACATTCAGAAATTAATCGAAAATTTTTTTTGAGTGCAAATTTCATCTTCTTTTGGTCGAGATTTTTTTTCTCATACATAGTTCCGTATCTTGGAGAATGAAGAATGAATTAGCGACTATAATATTATTTGGTTCCTTTCAATGGAGCCCGTGCCAAAGTTTTTGTTTGAAGTCGCAAGCAGCATTCCTTTTAGGCTAAACCAATTCGGAGAGGTTCTAATCAACCGTCACTATCGTCCAAGTCGAATCGTACGGTATCACCCAATCCGAGAAATGTTATGAGCCCTATGGAATCAATTTTCAGGTGAAAATTTCGCTCTATTCGAATGATTTTCATTTCTTTTTGATTCATCAGTTTTTTAAAATTCGTTTTTGCGGAACCGAATCTATTGAATAACCGATAAACAACTGTTAATTTCAGTGATTCACTGGAAAATATCGTGAGTGATTTCGAAGAAACATTCAATCCAACTCGTGATTATTGCTCAGATCGTGAGAGTGCAACCGTGCATTTTGAACAAATCAGTCGGCCTAACAATGGATATCTCTCCGATTTTGGCCCACAAATTAATCGACAAGCGCCATCTGGAATAAATAAAAGTCAATGTGAGTTCTTTTTTTTTCATTTCAGTTATCGATCCGTCCATCCATCCATCTGTGCGTTTCATTTCACTCGCAATGAAATGAACCGCATAGGCGTAGTTATTGATATTAAGATAGTGAATGCACTCATTCAATGATACGATACAGTTAGAAGACGATATTGATTGCATTTGTTGATACCAACTTGATTATTCTTCGTTGAACATAATCCATCAATGTATACAACACTTCATTACGAACTATTCAGTTTTTTGTTCATGAAAGCACTCGCAGATGATTGATCATAAGGGTAATATTTCACAGAGTGCTTGAAACGAGCATTGAGAATAAATAGCAGCCATTCTCAATGTAATAACATTCGTTCAGTCGTCAACTTGCATAAAAAGCGGCCGATTCAGTGCGAAGACGACGTACACTCGTTGCATTATAAAATTACCAATTGAAATTGTTTGCCGAACAAGAATATTTTCGTGTTCCTTTCACTACATACAACGTCACTGTCTTTAAACGACCACTGAGTTTCACCGCTCTTTTTAAAGCATTACAAGACTTATGTATAGTAATTGCGATCACTAAGGTTTCTGACGCGTCCTAAACCAACCAAATGCTGTTTGCTTTGATTGGAATTGGAATATCCTAAGCCCATTAAACTGTCATATTTTGCAGTTGTTCGTTTCTCTTGAGCCGTTCTTTCTCAGATGGTGATGAGTAGTTCAGTGATGTTTTCATTAGAAATCTTTTGAATGCTTTCGGTTCGAAAGCAGAAGCATTTATTAAGTAGTAGTTGATTTGTTTATGTGTAATAATTTACGATTCATTCCACAGTTATTATGATTGATTGATTTATCGAATTTTTAAGAGATGAAACAACGACACCGATCGTTCATAATTAAAATGAAAAAGTTTAATTGAACTGTCGACGCGATACTTCGACACGAACAATCTTTTTTTCAACTGATATTCAAATCCGTATTACCGATGCGAATTCACCTCATAATTATTAATTAAGTCGCTTAATGACTCACGCATCTTTAATGTGCCATCAATATCACAAAACAGATCTTCATTATTTCTGAATGACTAATAATTCCGCACGATTTAGTTAGTTTCTTTTAATTCAGCATATAACTGCCATCTGTTCCTTTGAATTATCTTCAACATCCTCCAGAACTTAATCGATCGTCAATCGCCAATAATGTTCATTGATTGTAAACCCTTCTGAAAGTCATATTCTTTGTTATAAATATCGTATTTGGTTATAAAATCCATTTTGAACGGTCAACTGCACTGAAAAATTCACGCAGTAAGAGTTTGCATGACTGCTGTACGCAATGCATTGGACAATCAAAGGAAAGCTGCCAATACCAGCTAGAAAATCAACCACTTTCAAAGATCCGCTATGTAAGCTATTCATCGTGACCATTCGCTGTTCTGTGTTCGTTTATACTATAAATCTTTTCGACAATAGTTATCAGTCATTCAGTTTCAGTCATAGAATTAACAATAATTTTTATCTGTTCATTTTGCACGAATGAGTCTTCACAGTAAGATAAAGCGTTGATATTCTTATGCATTAGCATTCAAAATTGTAATTGACTTTGGTCATTTATAATGCCAGCGGGTACACATCATTAAATCATCTTTCGTTGTATGCACATACCCATCACTCACATACTCATCCATTGATGAAACTAGTTAATTTACATGATGGTGTTAAAATCACTACAGAATTCGTTAGTTCATTAAGTCGAACCGACTTGTGTGTTCAAAGCTTTCATGCTTCCGAACACAGTAAACGTTCGATTCAGTCATGCAGCTTAAAAGAGTACATATTCATAACAGTGCATATGTATTTGTGAGGATAATGTTTAGGTTCTGTAGCAGTCCCTTTGAAATATTCAACTTCGATTGGACAGCTACTTAATATCACATTCACCGATAATTTTAGCATTGAATCAAGAAGTTTTAAGCAGTCTATGAAATCGCTTTGTGTGATCAAAGCTTTAGTGCTTGACAGTTTTAAAGACAATAAACTGAAGACAATGAGTAGTTAACGGATACCGTTGATTTCAGCGTCGTCATACTATCAGCCACCATACGACACTCACGCATCGTCACCCGTGATTACGAATGGATTTCATGGTTAGTTTGTCACAGTTCAATAAATTGTTTGTTCTGAAGGGTGGTCGTTTGATAATTGAATTGAATAAGGCTTAATAAAACAACCCAATCAATTGATTTCTTAGTTAGTCATTTAACTGTCTCTGTTGATTGGTGGAAGTTTAGTTGCTATTCAAATGCATGCAAAGTGAACAAGTATTTGTTGTAGTCTGGATGCGTGCTCATTTAGAATGGCTTTCATGATCTCTTTTTATTTTGCTGTATGACCGTAGTCCACACTTCCCCTGAGCTCCTCTGTTCTGTTTTCTTCTATCTATCTTCATGCAAAAAATTGCTTGGCTATACTCTGTACTTTTACTTGAACTGTGCTGTTTCAGTTACGTAAGGTTTAACCTCACCCCTTCCTGAAAATACCTTCGTTCGAATGATTTCGACCGTTGTTCAATGCTAACCCAGCGTTCTTTCTTTCGAATGGTTGATTGTTCGAACGGTTGTTTACTGCTCGAAACCTCAAATTATCTTGTTTTAAACGAGTTCAATGAAATATTTATTATTTTACATGGGGAAAATTGAAAGGATGCAACAAATTTTCATTCGGAAAAATGCGATTCCAATCAACCAAATTCAACGAATGTACATTAGCAAGTGAAATTGTTAGTTGGCGGTACGTAGTAAAGAGATGAATAATTATCCATGTAATCCTTCCTGGTTTTTCTCTCGAATAATTGAGGTAGTATAGCCGCTATAAGAGCCGATATATTGAATGTGGTGCGGTCATTCGACCTCGTCTTGATTAAAAACGAAGGAATTTCACTTAGTTTCTACAGGTCTTCTTCAGGCCCAGATTTCTTCGATGAGAATTGTATTGTGTAAGCACATGATAAAGCTTGAATCTATGCTTTTGATTGTTTCAGACGCAATTTTCTCCTCAAAAAAACCACCAGTTCCGCCGTTCTCAAGCACAACATCATCGTCACAATGTAGGTCGTTTGTGGCTATTGATCAATCAATAATTCTATCAAATATTCTGCCAAATGAAATCAGCTCAATTTTGTCGACATAAAAGCAATGAATCGAAAAATTTCACTTTGCATATTGAACCATTTATTCACATTCAGAATGCTTTAACGGTTGCTGGTTTCTTTCAGCTTATTGTACTGCGTTAGGCCGGACACTGTCAGAGATAAAGGCGAAGCAACGTGAAGAGCGTGAACTGGATGGGCGACGAAGTGCTTCTACGGTTACCACAAACGCTTATCAGAAGCATCGTGACGTTTCACGACCTAATGAATTTGTCACTAGAAGCGGATATGAGGTTTGCAAATGTATTCCTTTATAAGTTGTAACAAGCGATTGATTTATCACGTTCTTTCCTTGAGTTCTTCGATTTTGTTCTGATAAATTTCTGGTTTAATCGTTACTCGATAGTATTTCATAGTGTTCCTTAAATTTGCAGCTCTGATGAGCCATATTACGTGTATTGATCACAGGAAACACGGAATTGCGTGGTTGTTGAACAGAAAAGAGAGAGCAAAATGCTAATCATAACTTATCGTATAATTTTTTTGCAGTCTGAACGATCGTCGTATGAGCAAGGTAAGACGCATTACTTGGGAAGTAAGACACCGGACATGAGTAGGAAGAAATTAACAATGATCAACAACTATCACAATGATACAGAACCAGTACCACATTGGAGAAGAGGAGGGCACGTAGATTCATCGAAAATGCATAAGAGCACTAGTCAGCAACTGAATATGGATGGGTTTGCGAGTGTTAGAAGGAAAAAAATTGATGATGGTTATACGGAATGTGAACCAAGCAAACAATCTCCTGTTTATACGGTTCGTTAATCGTCAAAAACAAATAGTTTCATCACCAAAAGAAAAACACTTGACTGGCTGTAACAACGAAAAATAAGTGCATATTTACGTTTAAAGTTACTACTCGCGTATCTGCACGAAATACCTCCCAAAGTTCTAGTGCACCTCTTTAGGCACTGAAAAGTAAAAGTATTATGTGCCTAAACTATCAGTTTTGGAAATTTTCGTAAAACACTTTGGAATTTCTCAAATGACTAACTGTCCGTTCAGTTGTTTTATACCATAATCGACAAGCTAAGATAGATTTGTTATTTTAGGAATGTCGTCAAAGTAACCATGCAGATTCACCCCCATATGGCTCGTTACCATTACGGCGACAGTTAGACTCGTTAAGAACGCAAATCAGACAAGTCTCCTCATCGAATCAACAGACATTTAACGTCTCCTCATCCAGCTCGATGTCAGTATGCTTTTTTTCTATTATGCATCCTCACCATTCCTTAATCATTTAAAGTTCTCTCTATATATGCCATTCTTGATTTCTGATCAATTGATACGTTGACAATATATTAATAATATCAAGAAACTGGAATAGCAAGAACGGAATGATTCATTGTTTAGTATCGAAATATCGAAGAATTTTAATAGTTTGAAAGTTTTTGGATATTATTAAAATCGCATTTCAGAAGAGCATCTCCTGCAGTCGATGTTGCCGTGAATTTGCGCAATAATGAAACAAAAATGCCAAATAATGAAGTTCCTCGCACTGTTTGTTCAGTTTCCACTTCGACACCTCCTGTTCCACCAACAAAACCTTGTAGTGATTGTTCCATGCTTAAACAACAATTACTTGATCTTTCAAATAGGTCACTTTTTAATTTCTTCGCTTACTCCATCCTCATCATGGAGCTGTCTTTGTTAAATCATTTGTAGCGCTGTGAAGACTGAAAGCAATTTCATTTTTTAATCATGGTAATTAACTTGACATGTTCGATGGTTCATATCGTTTTGAAATGATGTTCTGATCGGAAGTACGCTTGCAATCTAAACGTATTCTACCTCAACACATGCTATTCATCGTTGTTGTTGTTTTCTTCAAACATTTCTAAGAATTTTCATATTCTCACGCTATGAAATTTATTAACGCCAATAAGAAAATGTTTTCCATTTATTTGATCCCCTGATAAGTCAAATTGTGAATCTGTCAACTGCCCAAAGAAATCGTCAGAGGATCGAAGTTTGAAACTATAACTTTTTAAAATTCACTGATCGTATCGAGAATGTTGTTCTAGATTAGTGACAGCTGAAAGTTTAAATATACCGAGGCAGTACAGTGATAAGTCTGAAGGTACGGGTGACAGGCAACAGCGTAATGTAAGTGTAGGTACGGCACGACTGGAAACTGCAGAAAAAAGTGTCGGGCAATCTCGGCCTGTAACACTTGAATTTGGTACCATCACCGACCCTCTTCATAAAGTCGATTTTGCGGGCGATACATTCGTCATCGAAAACGTTAACAAGGTCGGTTTAACGCTATAGCTGCTAATCTCTTGCCACCCATGCACTCCAGTGGTCACATGAACGAGTGCAACTTCGCTTCTCCACTATAGAAATAGATATTGCTAATTCGTGCCATTTGACTCTCTGGAATTCCCTTGTTTAGAATTTCCTCCGTTCGGGAATCATCCGTTCAGCGTTCTTCCGTACAATCATAACTGACATCTGTAGATGTTCATTGATTCATTTTATCTCTTCATTTCATCGTTTATTGATTTTTACTTTAGTTTTTTTTCATTACTTCTAGGCGACAGGTCTATCTAAACTGGATGCGGTAAATGCTAACTGGGTGCGCGATTCCAGCTGTTCGCCACCTCCAGTAATTCAGCATCATTCCATAGCGATCGGCACAGAACCGCACGATTCAACGGCTGATTATTCGAAACTTCGTGATGCGAGCACGTTAACTATTCTCGACGTAGAAGCATTGCTAGCCGTTCAACGATATCAATCACCTAAACGTGAATGTGTTTCTGCTGAATGCTACACTGAACCCATTTGCACCAAAGGTACCAAAGTCGCTTCTTAAAACGATATTTCGGTTTAATCTCACTTATATTTGAACCAGTTTATTGATGTCAAATTACTTTTATTTATTATCAGCGAACGTTTGGCTATTGTAGTAAACAAAAGCGAAATGAGTGAGTGCTGTAGTACACGCGAAAACCATTCAGAACATTTCCTCAGGAATTGCTCTGAGTTTTCAAAATTACTTGAAAAGACTTAGTTCTAAGTAATTTTTAATAAACATTCCAAACATCTTATCTCTATTATAAATTCATTTCAAATATTCTTGAGAGAATGGCAATGATGCGCCGCCGTATCTGAGTACAAATGAATGCGCCACAATAACTGATCATTGCATGTTGCACTCGACTGATCGTTGTGTTGGTAACGATCATTCGATAACGACGTCAGATTGTGCGTCGATGACTACATATCATGATCATCAAAACAGTATGCACGTTCAGACTGATGCAACACCAACCAGGTTCACACTCACCCTACCTTTATCCCAATATTGCTGATCATTCAGCAAAAACAATCTGTTTTTCATTAACACATCTCAGCTGCACGAATTCATCCTTTACACACATACTACTTGTAACACATACGTGCTACGATTAATAAATGAATCATGAGTTACGATGATGAATCACTGCCGTTTTGCTTATACACGTTTTACGGGGATCTACGCGGGAGCCTGGTAGGTGCAAGAGACTCTCTTAGGACGGGGGTCCCCGCGGGTGTACCTGTAGTGGAGATTGGTTCAAATTGCGAACACTGGACGAGAACATTTTGCATCATTCTTGAAAAAGATCGTAGCCACAGTATATTTGTAAAAGCAAGCGATAATATGAGATGTGTCTTTCTTTCCTTTTATAAAATGTGCAAAAAAAATCTTATTACTTAATTGATAGTTGGCGTATATGTTTCTCTATCGGGTCAAGTGATATCGCAATGAATGGATTTTCGATTGTGTGGAATTAAACAAATTAAGGTCAATACTTGTTGGTACAAGAACTGTGGAAACATTCGAGCAAGGTGTTGAGACAGATAAAAAAACAATGAAAGATTCATCAACGGTTTATGAAGATATCCAACCAGAGTTGCCGGCAACAGCGAGCACTTCGTCACAAACCGAAGCTATTACGGAGATCTGTGATTATTTACCTAATACGTCCTCCATCTGTTCAGAAGCGGTTGCAACACAAACTGAATTTGGTTTGTTCGTCTTTAAGTATCGATCATTTACCAATATCCATGTACACAAATCACAGTTCCTGCATGTTCAGTGAACCATTTTGGAATATGGTTTCAGTAGATTAGAATGAGTCAGCTTAGTTATCCGTTTCCGTTTGAAACATTCTTTTCATCCATTCATTAGAAGAAACCTGCAGAACCGGAGCCAAGCGAGCCGCGTGTTTTGAACGATTCTGAAATCGCCGAATCTTTATGGTTGATGCCTTGTCGGGATACCACGGATGTTGCTGTTGGTAATGATGATGATATTGTCAGTGAAATAACAAATGAAAGGAGTAACAAATATTCGAACGAAACGGCGATTCAAAGCAAAATGATCATTGATTCTAATGTTGATGAAGATGATGAGAAGGTGAACGTTGTTTGCGATCAACTTTGCAGTCATGAGTTGATTCTCCTTGCATTCTTTAAACGCAAGTTGGTTGTTGTAGACACGAAAACCTTCTTCTGAAGAGAGAGACTGAATGCTTGTTTGACAATTTTTGACTTTGAAATTATTATTTTATTCCGCTGAAAGTGAAAAGTGAACACTAGCTAAGTTTAGATTCATCACGTTAGTGGAGCATGGCATTACTATATGATTTGTTTTGTTTGGGAATGTACAAAACGCACGCACGCATTCATTACGAGATTGCCTGAGTAACATCAGAAAAGGTTAACCGTAATGAAATCGATCCGATCTGTTCAACAGCTGATCATATTTCAGGTTTCAGTTATTGAAGAAACGCTATCAGATCCGGAAGCAATTGGATTCGGTGAGTCTGCAGAAGAGTCGCCTACTCGGCAACGTTGCGCAGACACCGTTGATGAGCCGGAGACACGATCGCGTGCACTTGGACAAGCTCGTGCAGCGATCGTGAAAAAAATGCTCATCGAAAAATCCCCGCAATCAGAAACAAATTTTATTCGAGGATCTTTTACGTCGAAATCTTGTCGGGTATCTAGTAATAAGGGCGATTCATTGCAGTATATTGCTGATCAGTACAAAACACAGGTCAGACCTAAACTAACTTTGATTATTCACTGAAAGATTTCGTATAGTCATTGCTACAATGATCTGTGTGCAGCACATGGGTCAAGAAACGCAATCGTTCTCACTTTCGTTTTCTCTCTAGCATTGACTGCAATTCTGTTACCGGAATAAACAAGGCATAAATCGTTGCATATTCTTTTGCTGAACTATCCCATTTAAAAAATAGATGTTAAGGACCTTTCATCAGTCGATAGACGATTACTGCTGATATGTCATTTACAGAATGGATCATCGCCTTCCATACCGCAAACGCAGAAGGGAGCTCTCGTAGAGAAAGTCATTTTGAAGAAGGAAATGGCACCTGTAACTTCCAAAGTCCCTGAGCCAATACCAGCCAGGATTCCGCGACCGAAAATTGCAAAATATAATCCTGGTGAGGCGCAGGCACAGTCACCAGATGAGGTGAATAATGATTTGATGTTTTGAATATTCTTTGCAGATGTGCCTAAATCAAGAACATTTGGTAAATGATTATGAAATTTGCGATGAACATTTTAAGCAGAAACAGTTCATATCAGTGAACATTTCTATTGAGGTTTTCCAGTGGCAAGTCAAAGAGATTAGCAGTTCGATATCGCTTACACGCTTGAGGCTTACCAGAGAAACGCATACAATCAACCACTGTTTAGGAAGCGGAAGTAGCGGATCGTTTGACACCATTGCGCTCCGAAATGCGCACATTACGAACGTTCACGAATGGAAGAATGGTGGTGCGAAATGCCGCGGCTCAATCTCCTCCATCAATAAATAATCACAATGCATCATACGACAATCCAGCGGTTGAAGATGACAGGTAACGAATAGCAATGATTGACGCTTAAATATGTATGTTGCCTATCGGCACAGCTGTAGCATATCTTTCATTTTCAAGTAAAATCTTCGAGACCACTCGAGAATGCGATCGAACGGTTGGCTGATATTACTAATCATAATAACAAAACTCTCAACTTGTGAGAATTGGCTCAGATGAATTGCTTCATTTCCATTCTCTTGAATTTGCACGCAACGAAAGCATACCATTTGACGTGATGAATCGCTCGAAAATTGTCCACTTATGAATATGTTGAAATTTCATTTCAAGTTTTGAATGAACTTTTCATCATCAAGTCACTTCCACGGCAGTGTGTCAGAGTATATGACTGAGTTGCAGCTCAACGTGCTCGTCAGATTCAGAGGGCTCCTATGATACAAATGAAGCGAATTCAAGCAACACTCCACCACCGTTCGAGCTGTCTGAACCTTTAAAAGAAGCCCTTGACGCACTTCAAAAAGACTGTGATAATTCAGGCTCCGTAGAACGCACTACAGTAGTAAGTTCACTCGATTGAATATATACGATTTTGATAATCAAATAAATTATTGCAAGATATCAACACCTTTTGACTTCGCATACTAAACCAACACTAAAACCTTAGTCGTTTCTTCGGTAAAGTTAACTACAATAATGAATAACATGGAATTCACAAGAGAAGGTTCTAATTTCAAGCAGTTCAGTGGCAATCGACAGTGATATGCTAAACGTTAATGTGAGACTGCACCAAATTGAAATTCATTTAAACTGAATAATGATATGTTAGGAATGGGCAATGAAGTTCCTACAGCATGAATGGTTGAAGACAGCTGCTCGACGTACAGCCTGTGCGAGTCAAGTTGAAGGCTTCATTGAAGCACTTGAACCATATTCGTCGAAATTGCTTGCTCTCGTCGTCAACATGACCGACCAAAATGTGTGTCGTAACTTTGTTTCTTCCTCTCTTTCATCATCTCGGATCTGTCAAACTTTGGGATTCATTTCGTTCGAGTTTTTATTCTCCCATAGCAGCTGTTCTGAAAACAGTTTCAAATGAATGATTAATTGGATAAGTATGTGAAGCATATGGGAGTTAATGTGTTATTCAGGAGAATACAGCACTTCATTATGCAGTTTCTCATGGAAATTTCGATGTTGTAAGTGTGCTTCTTGATACTACAGTGTGTTATTTGGATCAGCCAAATAAGGTGAAATCAATTCTTTATTTATGAATCAGCAATTTGAGTTTGATTGTTATTATATCGTATCTTTTCAGTAATTCTCTGGGTATTGCTCAGTATAGGTTTTCTCGTATGACAGACAAATTGATACTGCACATCGTTTAACGATGTCGATGTTATTTCTTTTTTTTTTGGACACTGCATAAAAATTAGTTCAAAATGAAGATAACCTTTGAGTTCTTGAACCTAAACCGATTACTGTTATTGTTCGTATGGCAAGTACCTTTTTCAATTTGTAAGCACGTTGACTTCTCGAATTGATACGTTAGAATTAATCGTGGAATCATATAGGCTGGTTATACTCCAGTGATGTTGGCTGCTTTGTGCGAAGTGAATGATGAAATGGAATCGGCCGTGATTCACCGTCTTTTTCAACTCGGCAATGTTAATGCAAAAGCTGCTCAGGTGAAATATTCAAGTAGGGAACGCGGGGTGATAGAGATTCATTTTAATGATCATTTATCCTGTCTCAGTCTTATCTTATCATTGTGTAAGTACTTTTCATGCCCACCATGTGCTAATCAGTTATTCATTAAGATCAAATCCCCAAAGCATTTTCTCATTTGAAGTGGTCGATCATTTTTTGAATGAACTAACTCATTAGAAGACCGGTGAAATTCTCTTTTTCATGGTTCATTCAAACGGAATTATTAAAATCTCTCATTTTTTCAAAACTTTGGAATAATAAATTTAACGAAGTTGCTTTCAGCATGGGCAAACCGCGTTGATGCTGGCTGTCTCTCATGGCAAAATGAACACCACAAAATTACTTTTACAGTGCAATGCTGATTTGAACATACAAGTAGTCATCTTCGTTTAATTTCAAAGCACTTTTTTTCATTGCCTCTAACCATCAACCAACGGAATTTTTCGACCGTTTTTGTTGCTTTAGTGTTCCGCTCTTCAGCTTTACATTACTTTGAATTTGAAAAAATTTTTAGGACGAAGAAGGGTCAACGGCATTGATGTGCGCCGCTGAGCACGGACATAAGGATATTGTAAAGTTTCTGCTCGCCCAACCTAATATTGACGCATCACTTTCAGATTGTGTAAGAGTTTATTTAAACCTTTTCAATAGCATCTCTCAAGTGATCACTTTTTAACTGAGCCGATACCGTTCTCGTATAGCATAACACAAGCTAGTGATCCGAATGAATTTATATAAATAAGTAGTGTAATGGAAAATTCAGAGATTCGAACCTAAATAGAGGAGTTCTCGTTGAATATCGATGGATCGGCTATAATCTAGAATTTGTTGTATAGACTATAGGTAACAATGATTTGCAATGGTCACAGTTTAAATGCTTTCGTGAGGGTTTGAAACTTACTGCGATATGATCCTATGATATTGGTATTGTAAAGACGTCTTTGTAGACAAGAATCGTCAATTAATGAAATAGTTGGTCAAAGTTAAAATTGAAGTCATCAATTGTAGGATAGTTCAACAGCACTTTCAATAGCTGTTGAAAATGGACATCGTGATATTGGTGTGCTCATTTATGCTCATTTGAATTACGGTCGTGCCGAACAATCGTTGTCGCAACAGAACGGTGGCCCTAGTAGTTCATTTTCATTGAAGTAACTGCTTTGATTGAAGCATCGATCGATTGATTTCAACGAATCGCCAATTGATTATCAGTGATTGAATTATTTGTGATGATTGATCGATTATAGGAGACTTGATTGTTAATAATGACAGCAATATTAAATTTATTTGTTAATATTATAATGATGAATGTTATCATGATTAATACCGTTATCGTTTCCTTATTCTTGTGATTGTTGTGATGAGAAAAATGCAGATATTTATTCTTTTTGTTTATTCATTGCTGCATTTAATTACTATTGTTATGATATAAATGTGCCTTATTCATGAATTACCGACTGTAACATTCAAATATTTTTGTGAATTTCTTTTTGTTCTCTGTGCATTTTCACTGATTGGTCAGATTTGCACCTTGTTTGTCATTAGATTAAACATTTGCCAAAAAATCTTACGCGAACTCTCGATTGTGTGAACTGTCAATTTTTTCATTCTCTTCTGCTGCTGCAGTCATCAAAGTAGATCAAGAAATAGTTAACATATAAAGCACTTTAATTCATTACAAACCGATCAGCCATCTGATGTTGAGAAGCAGATTTTGGCCACTTGAAATTAATTTATCGAAGGGAATTCAGCAGAAAATCTGTCAGTTCTTCACTTTTCACATATTCATTTGCTGTCATTGTTGAAGAGCGCTACAATCTTACATAAAAATTGCCAAAAGTCACGCTTCTATTATTGAAAAAAAATTATTTGTGGATA